TTTAGTGACTTTGGTAGGAAAAATGACAAAAAAACGACCTAGCCTCACAAAATGACAGTGTTATGCCTCACAAAATGACAGTTTTATTTTATGATTCAAAGATGGCATATTTATATTGGATGCACCTTGCCTAATCATTGGTATTCTAAAACCCAGTAAGCTTATGATGAGCCTATATGTGTTCGTTTGATCATCAATTTTGATAAAAATGCCTCACAAAATGACACGGAAAGCCTTACAAAATGACAGTGTTTCAGATTGAATTACTTTCATCATCTAAAATGGATCAGAAACAGTCAATACAAGAAGGAGTTAAAAATAATCATAATCTGACAGTTAACAATCAAGTAAGCATTACAAAAGTGCAGCTCTGATATCAAAACGTTTTAAAAATATTTCAAAACTCAACGAAATAAAGCTTCTATTTTGTGAAAGCAGAGAGTAATACATGTCAAACGTTAACTAAACACTGAAAAGTGATCTATCCAGGCATAGAACATATCAAATATAACCAAATACTGTGTTCAAGTATGAAAACAAAAAATGATTTTTACGCCTCACAAAATGACATTTTTTCAATTTTTTCAAAGTATAAAAAATGTTCCTTTTTTAATATATTCTGGTAAAAACAGAACTGGTATAATATAAACAACATATGTATCTAACAGTAAGACACGTGAAAGAATAATGAAACTTTTTCCCAAATCGGATTTGGAGTGATGCCGTTTTGGGTTGTCATTTTGTAAGGCACAATCTCACGCGAAGTTGCCCAACTTTTTCCAACCATCCTTTTTCCTGTAAAAGCTATTCTAATCTTCAATATATTATATTTATCTAACTGTCCTAGGTGAAATCAAATTTCTATCTGGCTGCTGTTAAAAAATGACAGCTGTGACGAAATTGTCATTTTGTAAGGCATGTTTTTTTGGAAGATTTCAAAGATGACAATTTTTATCGCAAAATTTACGGTTATTTAATGAAATCAACCCCCGGGAAGAAAAATATACTTGTTGAACTACCTATCTGGATAATAAAACATGAACAAAACTCATTTTTGTGCATTTCAGAGCCATCTCCTTTTTCATGTCATTTTGTAAGGCCGATACCCGTAGATATTCTATATGTGGGCCCCAGCTAAGTTTTTCATCAATTACTACACCAAGAAATTTGGTGTTGCTAACCTTAACAATTTTGTGTCCATTTATAAATATTCCTTGTGATTTGTCATGTTCATTGGCATACGGCCTAACCCTGGCGCAGGTTTCATCAGATTCGTATGCAGGTAGAAAATGTATGTAGCAGCATTTAGACATATTTATATGTAAGAGATTACTTCTCATGAATTTGCATACGAAATCAAGAACTTTATTGGCCTTCAAGTATGTTGCTTCTTTGGACGGTCCAGTGATAAATATATTTGTGTCATCAGCATAGAGCACAAATTTGCATTCATCGCCTTTGTAACAGTTTATTATGTCGTTCATATATAATAAGAAAAGTAGAGGGCCTAGTATGGAACCTTGGGGAACTCCATATTTTACATTCATAGTCTCTGATGTAGTGTTGAGAAATGAAGGAAGCATCCCGTGCACAGACCTTGGTCTACATATATATTAAATTATTAAATGAAACATACTGTGATCTATCGGATAAATAGCTTTTTAGAAGTCCTAGAGCTAGACCTCTAACCCCATAATTTTCCAGTTTCCTCAGGAGAATGCCATGGTCAAGAGTATCAAAAGCTTTGCTTAGGTCAATAAAGATTCCTAGAACATGATTACCACTGGATGTTGATGTTGTGATTGAATGAACTGATTTGTGGAGTGCATGTGAGGTTGAGTGGCCTTTTCGAAAACCAAATTGTTCATTACTGAGAATGTCATTAGCAGTGAAAAAGGTATAAAGCCGTTTGTATATTATTTTTTCAAATATTTTACCAAAGATTGGCAATATTGACACAGGTCTATAATTTTCAATATTTTCTTTATTATCTTTTTTATGGATAGGAGTTACTTTGCCTATTTTGAATATGGATGGGAACGTGCCTTTTTGAATACATGTATTATACAAATTTGCTAATATGTTGGATAAGAGATGAGCCGGTTTCTTGATAACTGCTATTGGTATATCACTGGCTTTTCCGTTAACGAATTCTTGAATTATTTCAAGAATCTCCTCAGGATGAGTTTCTTCTAGATGTATTGAACTGTTGACTGATTTCGACATAAACTCAACAAATGATTGCATTGGTTGGATAGACAGTTGGTTCTCGGACAAAACCTTCTCATTTAAATTACTAGCTAAAGATGTAAAGTAACTATTGAATTTGTTTGCAATAGTCCGCCTACAAATTACTCTAGTTCCATCTATAATGAAGTCATCTTTTAGCTGATTCTTCTTTTTGCCACGAAGCTCGTTAATTATTTGCCAGGTTTTTTTGGAGTTATGGCTATTTTTCTCAAACTTTTCAGCATAATACCTGGTTTTGGCAGTTTTTATGGCAATTTTAAGATATTTTGAGTAGTCCTTGTAAACATTATGTCTTTCCAGATCCCCATCTGGAATTAACAATGTTTTTGTTTTTTTCCATTCAAAATAAAGTCTGGCTTTTTTCTCCACAGAGTTGATAAGGCCGTTTGTGATCCATGGATTTGTTATATTATTTCGTTTGGTGGTTTTTGGTGAAGCCAATTTGCAAGATATATCTATCTTTTCTTGAAACAGATCCATGAAGGATTCAAAAGAGTCACATCTGTGGTAAAATGTATCTATGTCGTTTTCAATTTCTTCACAGAGCTTATCAAGGTTTGCATTACTATAGTTATAATAAATCGTTGTTTTTTCAGGTGATTTATTCTGTTCCGAACTAGTATCAGAATTCATTACTTGAAGGCAGAAAATGGGCTGGTGATGTGAAGCACTATCCTGAATTACTCCAGATATAGTTGATGAGTGAATGTCATTAGTGTGTATGTTATCAATGCACGTTTTTGAGCAGTGGGGCATTTGGTGTGTGGGAATGGATATTGTGGGCGTGAACCCGTGACTATAAATAACTTCTTCGAATATATCTTCATCTGGGCCTGATAAATTGGTTATGTTAACATTGAAGTCCCCTAATATGTATGCTTTATGTCCTTTCAGTGCAGTAAGAACTTCTTTATACTGTGCATTGAAGTTAGCAAGTGGATTGCTTGGTGAGCGGTATACAACTCCAACTGTTACTGGTTCTGGAGCATTACTTATTGTTATGAATAGGGACTCAAATTGCTCTGTACAAACAGATAACTTTTCAATCACACTAAAGTTAAAGGAGTTGTGAATGTAGAGAGAAACTCCACTTCCTTTACTTTTTACCTGTTGTGTCTTATTAGAAACGAAGCGTTTTTGGTAACATGAAGTATAGTCTTTAATTTGGTACAGCTGACTATTACAGGGATCAATGTTTGTTTCTGCTAAACCTATCACAGAAAATTTGTGGTCTATGCAGGCTTATTCTAAGGCCAATTTGTCAAAGTTAGTACCATTTCCATCAATATTTCGAAAGTAGTGTGAGAATATGCGCTTTGATGTTGTTTGAGGAATCTGCTTTATGAGGTTGTTGAAGTTTTTAATAGAATATGATTGATAGTTCTCAAGAGTTTTTGAGATTGTACTTATTGAGTCTATATAGTCGTGAGGTTCATTGTCAAGTAGTTCGTTGTTTGAAAAGTGAGGTGCTTGATAGAATGGATTATAACGAATTATATCATGATTTTGAATACAATTTGAGCAGTAAGTTTTTTCTCTAAAAGTGGCAATGTTTTCCTGTGTTTTACATCTCTTGTGAATGATGCAATCACACTTATTGCAATTTATAAATGGGTGTCCAGCACGAATAGGTTTGCTGCAGCAGATACAGTTCTCACATATATTTGTTCTATTCATGGTTTCGGAGCTCTTTGAATACGTGAATTGAACATCCCAACTTTACTCCTAGCAATATCACTAAATTGGCGCCCATCTATTGGATTGCGCTGTATTTTATCCACTATTAGCCTAGACAACTTAAAGATACCAGTAGACCCAAGATGGATGGCATCACTTTTATCCTTGAAACGACCGAACTGGTCAGCTAGTTTACCATCTTCACCAACAAATTCATTAAAATCTAGAGTTCCCACCTTTGGGTTCATGTCAACATATTGAAATATAAGTTTGTTAAAATATAATGCTTTCTCGTTCAACCAGCCAAACTTAGTGGGTAGTACTGGCGAAACGGTAACCTTGGAGTATGGACATTTACGACATATATCATCAAGTTTTACCTTGAGATCACTGGCACACTGCTCGATATTTGAGCTCCGTTTCTTAATATCATTTACTCCACAATGAATAAAAATATTTCTGTAACCTTCACACAAACTTGGGTTAATCATATCAATAATAAAACATTCTACCCTTTTCCCTGGCATTCTATGACCAAAACGTCCTTTCCCACTACCGAATTTCAAGAATCTAGTGTTGGAGTCTCCTATTATTATTGTTGCATTTTCGTTGTTAGATGTAACATAACGAAATGTAACACTATATCTTTTCTCACGTGTGGTTGGAGATTGATCTATTTGATGTTGCCAAACAGACTGAGATTGCTTACTCATAACATCCCCCTAGCATTTATACATTTCGGCCCATTTTATATGTTTGTTCGAATTGCTGTACATTTGTATACTTGCTATTTTGTAAAAGTTTCAAATCAAAATCATATTGCCATATTTCCGAATACTATTTCTTTTTTCAAGCACCAGATAATAATTTTAGGGCATCCATGGGCCTGTTATAATTTTTTCCGTTTCTGTATAAAATAATGTGTAATGTGATATGTGCGCCGATACTTGTAGCGCGATGCGTTACTGTGCTGCGCCGCGCACTCAATTATGCTTCTTGCAACGACGCTAGATCGGCGAGATGCGCTACTCAGTGGCGTAACTAATATGGCGTTTTAATATTTTCAACACTACTATATAACAAATAATTTGAGGACCCGAAACCGCTGAGCAGTCTCTATCTCGAACTTGCTCAACCCCATCTCACTTTGAGAATGGTGGAATCCGGTCAAACCGATCAACAGCCAGTGGGGCTGGGTACCTCAAATTATGTCTTTCAGGAAGATAACAAAGGAAATGACAATGAAAGGCATGATTTGGGGTCCCAGATTAAAGACAATCAGACATCAGCTGCCCCTGCTGCACCTGAATCCTCAGAAGCTGTTGCAGAGAACAGAACCCCTGAGGACTGTGAAGCAGACGTAAGCAGTTTTGTTTCATTTTGTACCAATGCTTCAACACCTTTTGATACAATTCTTTTGGCCCATTCAAAAAACCTACGATCTGAAGTAGACAATATCAAACTGAACTTTTGTAGTACTTTGAAAGTAGAAGTAGACCAATTTGCAACGTTGACCCCTACAATCATCAAAAACTGTTCAACACTTAACAAATATACCCTGGCAGACGGCCTTCTGTCCCTACTTTCTCTGTCAGAGAAAGTATGTGCAGTAATAGGGGGTAAAAGGTTGTCTATCGGTGACAACCCCATCGATGAAGCAGCAGTTGCTTCTTCTGTAGCTGCTGACTCCATTTCTGGAAATGCTACCCTCCATGAATCCCTTCAGGCTATTCAAAATAGCATTCTTAAGAGAGATAAGGTGCACAATGACACTCTCAAATCAATCAGTGGCCAGCTTAACACCCTGACTCTCTCCATTGATCAGTACATGAAACCATCAGATATGTCAACTCCAGATGTACCACGTAACACTGCATTTCCTTTTTTCCCAATAGGCCTTCCTAATATCAATATCGAAAAACCAGATCCTAAGATTGACTTACATACAGTGCAAAATCCTATAGACACCTCCATTGGTCACATTGAGTCATTCACACCAGATTTTGTTGCCCAAGAACTTTCGGATAAACTCACTGAATACCTTGACACATTCAGTGAACAGTTTGATGCAAACTCAGAAAGAGGACATGGTGTCATAAGCTTTGGGGATGCATACAACTATTCAGGAGCCAAAGCTGCAAAACCTATATCCAAAAACATCCCTGAACCCCTAACTGAACTTGTTTCGCTCATCCAGGCCAAATTCCCTGAAAGTGTCATTAATCAGTGTTTAGTGAATCGCTACCTTGACGAGAAATCAGAGCTGCCGAAGCATTCGGACAACGAAGCCTCACTAATGTTTGATAGTAACATCTTCACTATATCACTAGGCAGTACCTGTGATGTTCTATTCAGTAAAATCGAAGGATCTGAAACCAAAACTGTATCAGCTACTGGAAAAAGTCTATATGTTAGGGGGGGGGGGGGGGGTCCAAGGGGAACTTTGGGGAACTTTGGGAAAGTCCCCCAAGATTTCTGAAGTTCCCCAAAAAAAAGTTCCCCAAAACTCCCCAAAGTTCCCCAAAATTCCCCAAAATTATTCAAAATTATTCAAAATTATTCAAAATTATTCTTGAAAATTATTCAAAATTATTCAAAATTATTCAAAATTATTCAAAATTTCTCTAATATACATTAATACCCATTAATGTTAACATGTATATTATGTTATTATTTAAGGTATAATCTTAACTTACTTGTTGATACTTGCAGCATGATAATTTTTTTGGCATGATAATTTTTTTGGGGAACTTTGGGGAACTTTGGGGAATTTTGGGGAACTTTCTGAAGTTCCCCAAAAAAAAGTTCCCCAAAATTCCCCAAAATTATTTGTTTCATTGATAATTTTTTGGGGAACTTTGGGAAAGTCCCCCAGGTTTCCTGAAGTTCCCCAAAAAAAAGTTCCCCAAAACTCCCCAAAGTTCCCCTTGGACCCCCCCCCATGCTAAAAAGCGTGGGTCAGTGAAACAAGTACAGAGGACAACTTTCAGAACAAGAGTTTTTTGGCCGCCCAAAGTCTCAATAACATCACCTCCACCTAGTAATAAAATGAAATGTGAAAAGTGTGAAACAATCAAATAATAATGTATGTATATAATATAATTGTCTCTCAAATACAGATAACGTCTGTTAACTCTTAAAATACCCCTACAAGTATATATTATACTGATCGGTGGTGTCCGAGAAACATGAATTACGTCATCATGGTGTCTTCTTAACCCGGCTACAGACCTTCCCGTTACGGATGTAGTGGTCGAGATGAGTCTGTTCAGCCCTCTTCTTCTTCAGGTCAGTTACCACGTTCTTCCTTGCTGCACGCTCTTCACTGGATCTATCAGGACAGATCCATACATTTTTGTGTGCATCAGCCATCTTCAGTCTCCCTGTTTTCATCAGAATCTGATGAACTGCTGTTGAGCTTGGGGCGGTGATCTTGACTGGTCGGATAACCGTACCTGGCCTCTTCCAGCCGACTCTAGTCGCTTCAAAATGAGGTTTCTCCCCGATCTCCTCCAATAGTGCGGTTACCAGAGCTGGTAGCTGTTCTTCATCCTCTTCTTTCAATGAAACAAGAAATTTTCAATGAAACAAGAAATTTAATTTTAGCACATTTTACAGAATAAAAAGATGTAAAACAATTCATAAAATATAATGCCCATGTGGTGTATGACTTTTTGTCCTCGACTGCTTGTTTGGTTTTGGAAGGACAGGTAACTAACGGGGCAAGGAATGCGCGTGCCTGGGAGCTTTTGCACACACCAAAACGCTAGTTCAGTTAAGTTTTTAGAGACAAGGCTCACATTAGGACTATACGAAAAATTGTTAGCAGACATTAGGGGTTCTGTTTAAAGTTTTTACTATCTAGGTTGCAGTCTTGTTGTGACAAAAAGTCTACACTAAAACATGCTTGATTTTATATTGTGTAGTTCAAGGATTAAAAATGCACCTTCAAGGTGGATATTGGAGAGCAGGCGAAAGATTATGGCTTAAATTTATCAATGGTTATAATAAGCTATAAATATTTTAAACTATACAATGCTAATTAAAAATTTCTTTATACTTCATTCTCAAATTAAAATTTAAAAATTCAAAAATATACATTCATTTTATTAAAACATTCTCACACGTACTTTACTCACAGGACAAGACTTGGAAAACAGTAGCCTAGGGTAATTTAATTTAGATGTGTGTGACCAGCCAGTTATAACGTTTGGAAAATAGTATTTGTGCAGTCAAAGTCTTTTACGGTCCAATCAAGCAGGGCGTGGTTATGTTGATTAGCTAGATCCTCGCAAGCACATTACACTAGTAGTAAAATCAGTCATTCTGAACTTTGGGGTTAAGATGTTAAAAATTTTCAATTTTGGTTGATCTAGTGTTGTGATTGTCAGGTGGGTCTGCCTGACAGATTAGAAGGCAGGGTTTCCTTGATGAACATGTGTAACCCTCATGTAAGGATATTGGAGCACGGAATTTCATTATCTTGTAGAGCTCGAGGTAACTGTGGTATGTATATAGATTTTATATAGCTAGAATATTATTATGCTTGAATATCGGTTTGGTGTGCTCTTTTATGAAGAATTTTTTGTCTAGTTTCTGGTGTCCTATAGGCCTAGTACGTGCACAAGTCTTAAACTTATCAAGGTACGCCAGTCTATCACCAAATAGTACTCTGAGACAGTACTTCTGAGCAGTAAATAATGAGCTTATACGTTGCTTCGCTGCCCCACCCCATACAGATATACAGTAGGAAAGATGTGATTCGAACAGGGTATAATATAATTGTTGGTGTAGAAATTCTGGAAGGGAGCAGCGGAGTCTACATAAAGTGGATGTGGAATGATTTAGAGTTCGCTTAAGAGCTTTGATGTGATCTTCCCATGATAGGTTCTCGTCAATTATAACACCCAGAAATTTTGCGGATGAAACCTTTTTGATTGGAAAGTTGTCTATAGTTAGTACAACTTCAGGGTGTGATAAAATCTCTGATTTAGAACCTGCCATGGTGGGTTTGAAGTGTATGTAGCAGCACTTGGACATGTTTATATGTAACTTATTCGCTCTCATATAAGACTGTAATGATGACAGAAGCTCATTTCCTCGTTCATATGCCTCACGTTTTGTTTTGCCGACAACAAATATATTGGTATCATCAGCAAAGGTAACAAATGATCCTAGTTTAGAACTGTTTGTGATGTCGTTCATATAAAGAAGAAATAGGAGAGGTCCAAGAATTGAACCCTTTTCAGACCAAACACTATCAGATTCTTGCTCCTGTCCTCCTCTGCAGCCACACTCTTCATTACATTCTTCAGAATTTTACTGTTGCAGACCGCGCCACTTGTGCTGTTCTTTTGTACAGCTGCACTGTAGCTCTTAATTCCTGTCTCCACCGTTGTTTGTACTGTCTCTTCAACTGACGTCTTAAACAACTGTAGTTGTTCGTCCTTCTGCACTAGCAACTGGTCCTGCAACCTGACCATCTTTTCCTTGTCTGCTAGTGCTTCCGTCTTGAGGCACTCAACGATTTCCATCATAGCGCTCATCTGACTACTCTGCCGTCGTACGAGGTCTGCTGCTTGCATAACCCAGTTTGCCATATACCTTTTATAGATAGACGTAGACATGAGTATTTCCTGGTCCATATTTCCACGAATTTCGAAGTTTTCTAATTTCAGTTCTCTTGCCATCGAAGTAAACCATCTTTCAGTACAGCCCTCTACATCTTCCTTTTCTTCGTAGTTGAAATCCTTGATTTTCTTCTGAGATCGGGTCAAATTCAGATCATCCTCCATGGCCTGGTGTACTTGTATAATAATGTACAATTACACACGCAAAGGCTAACTACGCGGTAGCAGCAAACTGAACTTATCGCTAAGTTACAAAAGATAAGGGAGCTCGATAATTGCAACGTAAGCTACACACACTACACACAAAATATCAAATATAAATCTTGTTATTTTACTCAAATGTTGGATTATAACTCATGCATCATGTAAGCGCACACATGATCTTCATGAAATCGTGCTGTGAGGTGTTCAATCCTCGTTTAGACGCCTCAGCCGCACAGTATCAACACACAGTTAATTCAATGAAACAAGAAATTCAATGAAACAAGAAATTTAATTTTTAGCACATTTTACAGAATAAAGAGATGTAAAACAATTTGTAAAAATATAATGCTCATTTGGTGTATGACTTTTTGTCCTTGACTGTTAGTTTGATTTTGAAGGGACAGGTAAATAACGGGGCAGGGAATGTGCGTGCCTGAAAGCTTTTGCACACACCAAAACGCTAGTTCAGTTGAGTTTTTAGAGACAGGGCTCATATGAGGATCAGAAGAAATTTGTTAGCAGACGTTAGGGGTTCTGTTTGTGTTTGTTACTATGGGTTACAGTCTTGTTGTGACAGAAAGTCTACACTATATATGCCTAAGTTTAAATTGTGTAGTTTGAGGATATAAGATGCAACTTTAAGATGGATATTGGAGAGCTGGTGAAAAATTATGGTCGTTGTATCAATGGTTATAATAAGCTATAAATATCTTAAACTATACAGTGCTAATTAAAAATTTCTTTATACTGCATTATCAAATTAAATCTTAAAAATTCAAAAATATACAATATTCATTTTATTTTATTAAAGACTTTCTCACACATACAGGGTGGGCCAAAAGTCAGTGTGCAAACGTTGGGTCTTATACCTCCGCCGTGTTTTATATTTGAGAGCTGTTGCTTTGCAGATGGCATACTGTACTTACTGGTTCGAGGATTCCGTCGTCAAAATTTGAAAATTCGAATATTTTAGACCACGCCCATTCAATATTAAAACACCTATATTGTTTTCTCTGAACATGCTGAACGCCTAATTTTTTCAGAGACGGTAGATTATCAAATGTTGCATATGATCCGAAAACATGAGGCAAAACGGATTAGAAATGACGAAGTTATCAAGCATTTTGTGTATCTCGTTAACAAAATTGACTGGGTGATTATGTGACACCGTGACACGACACCTTAATTGGGCACCCTTAACAATTCCCATAATGTTTAACGGGGTAGTTAACGGGGGCACCTTATCACGTGATTAGGTAAACCAATCACCTGATCACACGTAATGAATAAACTCGTTATGCTTCATATCTCGGTCATCTGAGAAGCTACAGTTCTAATTCTTTCAGGACAAACGTAATTCGAATATCCAAACACAATTCAATAAAATTTAGCTTGATCCGACTATCCAAACTATCAAATAAATGTGAAAATGAACCTCCATTTGAAAAAAATGAACGCGAATATTTTTCGAGTTGACAAATTCCTCGAACCAGTAGTGGTACTAAGTCATACCAGAAGGAAGTATTTCAATTGAGCACTCAGTGACTGAGCTATTAAGGCCAATGTTTGCACACTGACTTTTGGCCCACCCTGTACTTTACTCACAGAACAAGACTTGGAAAATACTAGACTAGGGGAATTTTGCTGACATGTGTGTGACCAGCAAGTAGTGATCTTTCGAAGACAATATTGTTGCAGTCAAAATCTTTTACGGTTCAATCAAGCAGGGCGTGGCTATGTTGATTATTGCACGTTAATAGTGCACGTTTAAGCTTTCCCCGCAAACACATCACACTCATGGTAAAGTCAGCCATTCTAAGTTTTGGGGTAACCATGTTCCCATGTTGGCTGATCTTGTATTGTGGTTGTCAGGTGGGTCAGCCTGACAAATAAGTATAGGGAGGGCTTCCCAACTCAACCCATTATAATAATAGGATCGGAGTCTGCAGTTGGGGGAACTAATAGGGGACCTCCTATTAGGCTCCTACTTGGAATCACTACCTGGTCCAAAGATAATTGCTATAAGTGCGATAATTAGGGGGGGGGGGGGGGGGGGGGGCAGGGGGCTATTAAAGTATATCCCTGCCCTAAATCGGGAAAAAACCTACATTTTAATATACTTTAATATACTTAAATATACCCAAAATTATTCAAGCTATATTCTTTGTTTAGATTTGCAAGATAAGCCTCTTTTTGGACTAGTTCATGAATTTTCCTTTCAGTTTGGTCAAAAATGGCTGAATTATGAGCTTTAAACCATATGCCCATATTTGGGCATACGCACCAAAATTCGATCAAATTTCAATATTTTTGAATGAGACTAACTTTATGTGAAAGATATAGCTCAATATCTGTTAAATAGTGGATACTAAGTAAAAAGACCTCTATGATCAACAAAATTGCACATAATATCTCGGTTCGATACTAGCCAAAATGACTTCATTAAAATTGAAATAACTCCTTCAGTTTTCAATATTTATTTAAATATATTTAGGCCTCCAAAAAGATAAAGTATATTAAAGTATATTAAAGTATAACCCCGCCCCTAAATCGGGAAAAAAACTACATTTTAATATACTTAAATATGGTTAGCCCCCCCCCCCCCCTAATTAGGCTTTACTTTACTTTAGATAATTCATCCCAGGTTTTATTTTGCGACATGTGCTACCATTTTTAGAGAACTTTATTGGCAGATAAAGTTTCCAGATTTTTTGGACACTTAGTAGAAGTTTTACTAGTCTGAAATCTCGCCAAATGGGGCAGTAGTGGTCTAGACACTTATCATTAGTGAGTTGGACTAAGGCTCATGGTCCTTGAGATAACGTAATGCCCAAGAGCTGAGATAATTCAGCCTGAATATAACAATAGAAAAATAATAATGAGTTGAGCAATAGCTTTCAATACAATGCATTTTATTCTGGCAATTGACGTTTCACTGTAGTAGGTGGTCACTCTAGCCTTTTATAATTAATATAATTGCACCATTTAATTAAGGAGGGCTCTAACTAATAGAAAATAACTTTGCTAAATAAGCTTTCATTTTGTTGTGCTTAAAGGCAGTGACAAAACGTTGCCTGTTGGCGGACCCACTGAAAAAGCCCCCCCCCCCCCCCCCCCCCCCCCTGTTGGCGCCCCTCCCCTTTTGGCGCCCCTCCCTGAAATTGGACAAATTAGATGATTTTAGAGGATACGCCGGTAAGATCTCTAAAAAAGTGTGTTCTAGAGCAAAACGCGCAGTTATGCTTACTTACTGTACGTAGTTAAGTTTTTACAAATTGTCCCACATTCAAACGACGATTTGGCGCCCCCCTAAGATGGCCTAAGATGGCCTAAGATGGCCCTATTGTAGTCTAATCTAAACTAGCACAGAGAATTTAAATACTGACTGATCAGGTCATTCGAACAGTGGCTGACTACTTTATACTTTAGAAGCATGGCCACAAGAAATACAGCAAAGTATGGAAGTGAGCTAGCAAGACTATTAAACGCTCTCGCTGGCTCCTCTGATAACATCGTCAACACTCAAGACACTTTGACAGATATACTTGACAAGGTTAGAACAAGGTGCTATAGATATTTATGATTTAGATGGCTACATTCAATTATTATAATAATAATATGTATTTCTAGCAATTTTTGATTAGTTTATCTGATACTTTTGCTAATCTTATACGCATACAGCATTCATTGAAAGCTACATTTTCATCTGTCAACCTAATCTGAAATAATTGCTAGTAAAATGCCATGGCCCATGCCTGTGAGTGATGAGTTTCAGGATAAGATTTCAGATTGTCGGATGTATTTAGATCCACTAAAGGGCTGACCCCTTTACTTAATCCCAACTGGTACATTGGATAATTTAAAATCAAATTAGACACAATTGTTTTCAAGACAAAATTGAGGAAACAAGTAATGCTACATTCAACTGAGTTTAGAGTAAACAGCCGCAGTAAATCAAAAGATTTTTTCCCATTAAAAAGAAGAAACTATCCAATAGGCAAAAAAGTAAATTAAATTTATTCCAGGTCCCAATTAATTCAATAATTGGATTATTCTAACAAAGATTACAACTCTTTGGGCATCCCATTGCTACATATTTGTTGTTACTGCAATCTCCACCAATCGCTCCGACAAATCCTGCACACGGTATCCCTTGGTTGTCCTCACAAACAGCTGAAAATATTATTAGATATTAATTAATTATGAAAAATAGTTCGCTGTTTATTAGTCTCTTAATTGAAATACTGATAGTTTGATAATATCCGGTTGGAACTTGGAACTTGGAAGAGACTAGGACAAATGAAACAGGAAGTTAGGAATATTTGCCTACATTCCGGAATGTAGGCAAATTTTCAGCGTCAACGCCATCTTCAGGCTCAAATTATTTGCTATATTTTTAATACTGTCAACACTACTAGTGTTTATAATATAAGAATTATCTGACCTAGTGAGCATGCGCCACAAGACTTGGCACAGTACTGCTGTGAGAAGGAACTGTCACAGCCGCTGTCACCGTTCGGTTGTTTAAAAGCTGCCATTTGGGCACACACAGCGTCTCCTGCCTGATCGAGACAGTCTTCTGCCAAAGCAATGCCAACAATAACTGCAACTATCAGGAACTTCATTTTGGGTTCTGTAACAAAACATTGGTAATTAGTTTACTAACCAATTAGAAATAATCAGCAATTATGCCACGTATATTTGTGGGAGATATTCATCATTGATATTACAAAGTAGACCATAGTTGTGGGTAGAAAAAACTTTATTATATTGTTATGAAAAAGTTGTTAAGATCACTTATTAAAAATCCTTTTAAAGATTACTGTACTTGCAAATCTTAGAATCAATGGCCGACGTTTGCCAAAATAAATAACTGAGTTACAAGCTTTCAAATACCAGTAACAGACCTATTAAATCGTTGCACAAATGCTGTGTGGTGACTTTATTACTATTCAAAGTTTTGGTGTTGAATGAGGGGCAATGACCTGACTAATCCCCCACTACAGCTACTCGTGATTGTGCACGTGACAGAGGTAAGTCACAACTCACACCGACAAACTTATGTTCAAATGTTGGCACAAGGAAATGATATCTGATAATAATTATTGATATTTCCTTGTTTTAGGTTGCAGACTTGCACCCGAAACAGAACAGTATAGCTCTGTGTCAGTTCTACGAGGACTGTGGACACGAACCTATAATCTCTATTCTACCAGTCTTGTAAGATCTATTTTTATTTATTTTTTATAAAATACCTTTCAAATTTTACAGAGTACTGCAATAAATAATCATTAAATAGAACCGTTTGAAAGTATTACCCCCATCTGTATACTCAATGTTCAATTCTTCAAAAGTAATACATATTTTGACACTGCTCCTGGAATCTGACAATTTAAGCCTTATCTCCCCACCACTTTTCAAATCTAAGATTGGTTGCTATTTAATACTCATGAGATAAAACTAAATTCAATTTAAAACTACGCCTTTTAAGGGGGGGGGGGGGGCCAATGGGTATTTTTTTGTGAAACTTGATTTCGAGATAGCAGGAGGGAAACAAAATGCAGTTTTAAAACATTTAATTAATCTTTTTAAAATACTAATACTGAGCTTGCTCCATATTTATTAATATGATATATAAATTATATCACGTACATTATGTATACTAGTAATGTAATATGAACGATAAATAACAACATAGAAAATACTCCATTTAAACTGCTCTCCCGAGAAACTACGAAAATGTACAAAATTACGTTAAAAGAACGTGGTCTAATGTTAGTTTTTTAGGATGATTCTATCAATTTTGTTATTTGGACCAATGATTAGTCACATAAGATTATGCGAATATAATTATTTTCACTCAATTACTATACGGAAAACATAAATTTTTAGATGATCTGAATAAGATATGATAATAAAATTAAAGACGAAGTATCACTCAACAAACCAAACCGGGTTAAGTGAAATGTGAATAAGGAGTAGGATTGTTCAAACTGTGCCGGGATTATTTACAAAATAACGCCGCAACTTATTTTCTATCCCGTTCCTTAGCAGTATCCCAGAGAGGTTTATAGCAGCCTACAAAAACTACAATCAGACAGTAAGCTCAGCTACAATCAGGGGTTCCTACACCCCTGGCTACAACAACAACAAAACATGCCTTACCTTTTAATCGAAAGTTATAAACTGCAGTACGCAGTGAGTAGCCGAGGCGCCGTGCAGCTCTATCCGCATTATCTTCAACGATTAAAGGAATGTAAAATATAACTTATTGCTTCATTGAATTGTGTCGTAATAGAGGTCAGCTGAGGACCAACTTGTAGTGATCAATTGTCCCAATCAGCTCCTGTTAAGAATAAATTGCTTATCAAATGAAACGAAATATCAACCTGCCATTTCGACTGATATACAACTATTCGGAAAAGTTATGCAATTCACGTCGGTTATTAAAAATCGTGAACAATCTGTCGTTTCCTAGTGATGACTGCTAAAATAAAAGTGAACTTACTCTTCCATTTCCTACAGATTAAACAACAAAGAATGCAACAAAGAGTTTTTTATCGCAACGATTCGGGCTCTGCGTAATGTAAACGGTCTAAGAAAGTTGAGGACGGATCACTGGCAATCCCTACCTTATCAAGAAACCATGGTAACCATGGAAACCATACCACAATATCATGATATCATAGACGATAGTATGATAACTTAGTTTTACTTTTTAAAATCTTTCAGTCAAATTAGAAAACCAGTCGTGCAAATAGTAACGTCTAAACTAAATTGTTTTTAAAGGCTTGTTATTCTAAATTAGGTCACGTAGTAACAATTTTGGGAATGTTTCAGTTGTTACTGCTAACAGAAGGGCTCAGGTCTGATGATGAGTTGAAACAACTTTACTCTGCTGCTACACTTGCCGGGTAAGAAACAACCAGCTTTCCCCTCCTTGTAGTTAATAAGTCATTACTTTACTTTTTTGTAGTCTTACACTTATAGATATTTAAAGTAGAATACAATCAATAGTTTATTTGTACAGAGTGACGATGCACTACTCGGAGTTTACAAAGAATGATATTCCTGACCTTCTTATGAAGATGTACAGCTCGGACGATATCCAGGAGAAAATACACATGGTTCGTTAATCGTTCATCTAGGTACAATGTACATTGGACAATATACAATGTACAATGTACATACTTCATTTATTAGGCAAGTACTCTGAAGTATTATACACATTGAGTACAATTATATACAACTATAAGGGACTTCAGAGTTCACACCCCAGTTCCCTCACTCTGTTGTTGTCCAGGCGACAGCTGCGGATGCTGACTACCTCCACCCTACCACAACGCGCGCCTCAGCAGCTCATACCATCATGAAGTTCTACCAGAGTAAAGTGTTCTACGAGGTTAGTCCTCCGCAAGCAGTCTCTTCCTCCGCAAGCAATCTCATTAACAATTAATGTTCTTACTTTTAAAAGTGCTAATAATATATGATTAATATTTTGTCTAATGGTCCTTATTTTTCTGATGGTTTATCACATGACTTGGTCAAGTGAATGATCTGCTAATAAAATCTGATGTGGGTGTAGTCTAGGGAGTAGCTAAGGATCCATTGGATGTATGCGATCTCCTCGGTCGACTCAGCCGAATGATAGCAAACTCGATTGAGGGTTAAATGAGAAGGGGTACCCCTTCAGTACATACTGTAAACATAGTACTATTACTATTAACTATTAGCAACAACTTAACACATCATTACCCACTTGGTGCAGAAATATTATTAATCTATTATAATATAAACAACACAGATTTTCAACATTTGCTGATGATCTGACTCCAGCATCATAATATGCATCACATAAGTCGTTTAGGTGCTACTTTAACATTTAATGTTTGTAATAACTCATTAACCAGTATTAGCTAAGTTTAGTATGTTTCGATGATTTGTGAGGTTAATTAAAGATGTCTACTTAAAACCACGTACATTTCTGGGATTTTAACCCAAATTCCTAAATGTATGAGAAATAGTCGTTATCTTGAAAAAATAACGACATTTTCTTTCTAAGGTATGAATAATGAATTATTTTCAAACTAATTATCGAAATTTAATTTCAGAGGATAGTGGAGTTAGGGTTTATCAGAAGAACAATGGAGATAGTAGCAAAGTACGAGCAATACGAAACTGACCTTCTCTTCTGTCTGATCAGATATTTCCTTTTCAGGTATGGTGAAGTAGTCCCCTCCTGGCCCCAACCAGCCCCCCCCCCCCCCCCCCTCAAACAGTCAGAATAAGAAATAAAAAACTCTACCTTGAAACTTATTACCGGATCAATTTAATTTTGTTAAAACCGTCAAAATTACCGGAATTTATAAGGTCCGAAAGATTAAAGGTTCAAAATTTAAGAAGCCGGAATATTCGTTTCGCAAATCACGTAAAATAGAACAATTTAAAACGTGTTAAACGTGGCAACTAAATTACTCCTAAAGTTTGATCGCAATCAAACAGATTGAAATTGAGTCACTTTAGTCACGATTAGATATTATAGTTTGTAGTTTGCAGACTCTCCCAATCTACATTATAAGAAATTCCATGTGTGTAAATCTAGAACTATAGATCTGGAATTTTCAGGAAACTCCGTGTAAGAAACTGACCTCGTACGACATACATCCTTTGTTGTCTTAAACTCAGCAATCTGATGTTACAGCAACCTTGTATATGGACACGTTCATTTGAGTTTGAGGACATTGGTAAACAAAAATAATAGTGTTTTCGACGATAGTGGCTTAATTTTGGCATCTATTAACCTAGCACTGTATCATGTTCAGAAGTTCTGAGCATTAGCCACGTGACCCATACTCCCATATATGCACTGCTCAGAAATAAAATGTTTTTTTGTTAGGCACTAAAATGTTTAAAATGTCACATTTTTGTGACTTAGTTGACTGTAGCTGCCCAATTAACATTCCTTGGTCTTAAATATAGTAGATTAGGTCAATATAACAATTGTGATTTAACATTGGTTAAAGGGCACAGATCAAGTGGTTATACGGCAAAATCTGAATAACTTTGTCACACTCATAATACGATATCTTTTTTTTACTGTGAGGTGTCCTCAAAACCCTTTTAACTTATTATTTGATGGTTCTTCTATCGATTGCAGCCCTAAAATATGCTGTTTTTAATGGTTGCCTAGTACACGCACTTGGTTATTGGGAAATGAGGTTAATTCTGTCACATTTTATAGAATTTTCAATTTTGGGTGCATAACCGAAATCATTTATATCTGATTTTGGTTTGAAAAGCGAGAAAACTCCATATAAGGAGTATGGACGATACAGTTGATTCAAGAGAGTGCAGTTGATGTTAACATTGTCACAAACATTATGTGACGAAATTAACATTGCTTGCCCTATTTTAAAGTTCACCATACCTCTATTAGAACTTTAGAATTCAATATTCTTTCAGAAATAATTGGTAGATTATTTTCCAGCACATCAGAGCTTAAGTTTAACAATGTTAAGTTAAATTTTGCTAAGTCACTAAAATTGACTTAGCATGCTTATAGTGTGACAAAGTAAACATTTCCGTGCCGGCCGTATTTAGGCGATATCTTATCACCTGATTAGGATATCGTTATGTGAAAAAGTTTGCCTAAAGCTCTAAAGGATGAGACGATTATCCTAACCATCAAGGGTTTAAATAATTCCATAGTGTGACAAAGTCAACTACGCCGTGCCTTTTAATAGGGCCATTAATATTTACCAATATCCTCAAACTCAAATGAACGTGTCCATATAAGGTTGCTGTAACATCAAGACTTGGCAAAGCAAGACTTGGCAAAACGTAACAAATGAAAAACTCCGCACTATTTAATTTAGGTAAGTTTGACTGCCCACCTATATCTTGCCTCCGCTACGTATAATAGACATGGAACACAGAGCCAGACGATATGGTACTCACCGGGCTCCAATGAGTACCCAGACCAAACTGTACCGGCTAACTTGCTGAGCACCCAGACTCATTGTTACCGGCCAACTTGACTCTTTGTTCTGACCAGACGTACGTGAGAGCTCATTCCATTGTTTCGGCTGGTTTCAGAACTTCTTTAGTCGCTTTTATTCAACTTGTACATTAAACCTTTAGTCTAAGTTTCACATTCTGGAAATGTGTATTGTAATTTGTAGATCGATATCCAATAGTTGATACAGAGCGGCGCGGCGCGGGGGGGGGGGGGGGGCCGGGGGGGGCCGGGGGACAATTAGAGCGACTGAGCGAGACCACCCTAGGATTCCCTAAAATTTGTTGTCATAGGCTTAAGGCTTTTTTTAGTCGGTCAAATGCTATCTCGAAATCAAGTTACACAACCCATAATTGGCTAAAATTGTAAAATATTGCAATTTTCAAGTTGTCTGATACATTCCCGACCGGAGATGAAGACAACGGAAAAGCAGCTGGAAGTGGATTTCTTCTCGAAGGTTCTTCCTGACATCAGTGAAAGTTTCGAGTGTATGAACCCTACGATGCAAGAAATTGTTAGGTCTGTTGTTCAACATTTTAATTTTCAACAATAATGGGCGTCATTTGAATATTATGTTAGTCTCTCGAACCACCCAACCTGATACTCCACATTAAGTTACCACTATTCACCCCCCCCCCCCCCCGGCCCCCTCACCACCTCACCACCTTAACTCCCCCAGGAGCTCATGTAAAGTTGTCTCCACTCAAGCGCTACAATACGGGCACATGTTAACACCGGAAGCGGGAGCTACACAATGGATGGAGGAACACGAGGAGGAGGCTTGTGGGCTACTCCGCAAACCTCTAGGTAAGAATCTCCGGACCACACTGCGGACTAATTAGACTCCCCCTTAATAAGTTAAATTATACTCTTATAGAATTTGACCAACTCAATTTTGGTGTGCCTGGCGGGACAACAGAATTAGTAGTTTTAGTCCATGGTTAGAAGTTTTGCTGAACTGTAGTCTATATTTATTGATCACTAATTAGTCTATAATTATTGATCACTGGTTAGTCTATAATTATTGATCACTGATTAGTCTATAATTATTGATCACTGATTAGTCTATAATCATTGATCACTAATTAGTCTATAATTATTGATCACTGATAAGTCTATAATGATTGATCACTAATTAGTCTATATTTATTGATCACTAATCAGTCTATAATTATCGATCACTAATTAGTCTATAATTATTGAGCACTAATTAGTCTATAATTATTTATCACTTATTAGTCTATAATTATCGATCACTAATTAGTCTATAATTATTTATCACTAATTAGTCTATAATTATTTATCACTAATTAGTCTATAATTATTTATCACTAATTAGTCTATAATTATTTATCACTAATTAGTCTATAATTATTTATCACTAATTAGTCTATAATTATTGATCACTAATTAGTCTATACTTATTGAGCACTAATTAGTCTATAATTATTGATCACTAATCAGTCTATAATTATTGATCAATAATCAGTCTATAATTATTGGTCACTAATTAGTCTATAATTATTGATCACTTAATCCGGGTTTTACAATTTAGGGATTGCTACATACTTACTACAAGAATTATATTGCTTTCCTTAAATTTATGTTTTATTAACTGTGCAGTAAAATTATACTTTACATATTCGCCGTTTTATCCAAGTCATTAAAAGATCGTGTATTTAGATATCAAGAGAAAGTGTAGTAAAACGGACTGCAAGAATATCGAAAACGAAGTTGGAGAATTCGACAGGTAATAATTTAGAATCTTCACTAATCTATAGATCTATATCGTAGGAGGTAATAAAACATTTTGGAACCGATTTCACATTTAATTTTGAATTGAACAAGTTTTTAATGGTGACCTCTTTTAGTAACCTCTTAGTAACCTTTTAGTAACCTCTTAGTAACCTTTTAGTAACCTCTTAGTAACCTTTTAATAACCTCTTAGTAACCTTTTAATAACCTCTTAGTCACCCCTTAGTAACCCCTTAGTAACCTCTTGAATCCGCACAGATGCAGTGCGTGTAAAGTTACTGTGTACTGTTCACCAACCTGTCAGAAAGAGCACTGGACTGAGAAACACAAGAAACTGTGCAAGAGACTCAGAAAATGTTATCAAGTTAAGGTCGTAGAAGAAGTTGACGATTTGGATTAATACAAACTATATAGTGATACGTTTAAATCTATATATCGAAATTTAGCGTAGTGTTTAGGTGTTAGATCAGTTTGTTATGCAGTATTTGAAGCGTTCAGTTTATTGTCAATTTTGTCTTAAAGTTAGGTTTATTATATTTTTTCTGGTTTTTCTATTTTATACTTTGAGTAATATTGAGTGCCAATATCTCGAACACAATGTTATTCTTTGTATTTTTGAACGGTACCATCGTCCATCACATTCTGGTTAAACTTACTTTATAGTGACTTTAGAGACTTGAAATTAGTCCTCAGTAATTAATTAAATTAAGTTTTGTTATTTGTGTGGCCTCACTGATCTGTGATTTAAATGATATAAGAAACTGTAAAACTATAACAAGTGGTAGGAAGTGGAGATATGGTTTTTGCGGTAACTTTTTACTTTTTGCAGTAACTTTTTACTGAAATTGCTGAAATGAAAGTGTTTCTCTGAAAACTATCGAAGATGCGATACTGTCTCACCAGGTCAGGTGATATGTGGGCTGCTTTCAATTTCTAAAATGTTGGTACCCAGTTTAGTTTTATACGACATATTTCATGGCGATATTATGTAAGGCACATTGAAAATAAAACACTGATGTGAGATTTTTGGAAAATTTTTAGTTTTTATTGTCATTTAAGAATTTGTAATATTAACATAGTAAATAATAATATACAATACAAATGTGTGATTAGAAAAATGAGATACGATAATCAATACTACTGATCAATTATAATTTGTGCCGAAAGATAACATTTTCAAAATCTATTTTAGGAAAGTTTGATATCGGGAGCAATTGTTACTAACCAGACCGTCAACTCTAGAAGTAGTAAAAGTGTTCCTCCTCCTCCAGATCTTGACACATAAATAGTCCCTGAACTGGGGTCTGAACAGTATTTCCCAACTCAAGGTCCACCCAGGTGCCAGAATACAGGGGATCTGTGCTGGCGTCACGTTTAAGGGCCAACATGGGACGTAGTACTGTAGAGAACTCATTGATGGAGCTCACGATTTTGCTGAGAATTTTCTTTGTACCGTCCCCAAGTTTCCGTATTTCGCTAGCAAGATCCCCAAGTCTTTTTACGAGGCCTGCAGTAGCCGACCCATTATGGTGATTAAGTTGCTCTAGTTTGATCTGAGTTAAATACAAATTAGATTGAACAAAATGGAGTTTGCTAACAATGAAAAGAATTCCCGCAAGATTGATAACAATTAGAATAATAACTGATAAAAAGACAAAAATTATAAAGGTTTCCAGGCTCTTGTCCTGTGCCATATCCTCCTATGCTCGATTGTGTGAAACAAAGATACTAGATCAAGATAACTATCAAGGAGTGTATGAATAGGACATAAAATGTTTTGGAACGAAGATGACATGCTTATGAAGCGAGCTAACAGTCTAATTGCTAATAAGTTCAAAAAGATCATGACATTAGGTTGCATCCTAAACAGTTTAAGAAAATAACATAAAGTTATACTGTCAATTAATCGCTCATGCCATAACTTTTCTTAAACAGGTGAGTTTTTAATAATGTTTTGAACAGATCAACATCAGAACAAGTCTTAATTTCAATTGGTAGTTGGTTCCAGATTTTCGGAGCAACAGTCTGAAACGCTCTTGGGTGCGATCTTGTAGATCCAACAGGTAGGTGTAAGGAGGAAGTTCTTCTGCTACTCGAACTAACAAATGTTACTAGAGCACACAGATATGCAGGAGCAACACCATTGGCTGCTTTGAAAATCAGTAAACATAACTTAAACTCAATCCTCTCCTTCACCTTGAGCCAATGAAGGGATTTGAGCTTCTCCTCGACTGAGTCTCTCTTCTTTAATCCAAAAACCAGACGGCATGCTCGGTTTTGAATGTTCTGCAGCTGCGCACCTTGACAAACTATTATAAACGAAATGTAACGAGATGTAAATTATCATTTATTATCAGGAAGCTGGTTCTCCTGTGTATAAGAGGAACCAGATCTTCTGTCAATTCAGTTGACAAAAGTTGTGAAAGCGACTTTGAGTTCGCATGCTTTGAATTAAAGCTTAGCTAATTATGAGTCCCATGGACTCAATTAATTGTTGTTTCAAATCTGGTCGATATACATTGTTGTAAATTATATTGTTATATATTATTCTATTTGTTTTCCAAAAAAAGATATATATTATAAACGAAATAAAACAAAGATGAGTGGCAAATGAAGGCTGGCCACTATACTTCATCTGTGTTGACTGTTGCTATGGGAACTGAACTTAGGCCTGCTCCTTTATAAAGATTGACAATGTTTAGTAGTAATTTTCGCACGATTATTGTTCGGATTTCAGTATCTATTAGACGGATATGGTAAGCCATATTATTTGGATTTAAACTATATTATTGAAGAGTTTGTATTAGCTTCAAGGTTAAGACTTAGCAGCTCGTATTTATAAGATGGTCAATTAGTAATTATATGAAGCTTGTAAAATAACGATTGTTTTCTCCTAGACTAATGCCCCTTTAACTGTCCGTTTGAGTTTTCTGCTTTTAAAGGCGTACCACGTTTAAAGGCTTTACCTGTGTCTGCTTGAGGCTGGAGGAAATATCGTTGGGTCTTTTGGAAGGCGTGTCGTAAATATTTAACTTATCATAGCGCAAACCACGTACCTACGTATATTAATTATATCGATCGCACGCACGTACTTTAATTTGTATTATACTGAACGTAACGCGCGTTGCCAGCCTACTAGCTATACCGATACGTACGTACAAGCAATAATTAAGATTTAATTTATTATTCAATCATACAATGCCGGAAATGAATGTGATTTAAACGTTCATTAACTTAACATTTTTGTAAAGCCATCGGCTAAAAGTAGGACACATGTGATCATTGCTGATAAAGCTGGTCCAGGATTTAGGTACCCTTATTTAGGAAGTAGATTCAGCTACAGCCGATTAATCACTTTATAGATCTGGGTGTATTCGAATACAAACTAGTTCATAGTTACTGGTATCAATAATAAACTTTATCAGATTCATAGAAACTAGAAGGAGCAATCAAGATAAAACACAATGTAGAACAGGGTGGAATATACACAGATCGGTTTAAAATCGGTCAAAATGCAGAAATAACACGAGATTTTTTAATTAATTATTAAATCGTTGCTTTGTCGTTAGTTATTTAACTTAATTAAATCTAGTGCTTCTAGTTTAGTCCTCGTTCACTTCTGAAATCAATCCATCATAATAAACTATTGTTTCACAGTCCCGCAGAGACGCTGTATATTTTTAAAATTTCTTATCAAACCTCCATCTTTCTTTAGTTGTGTTACGCCGTGTTTAGCTTGAAAAGTGGCCTGACTGAAGTTTTGGAACTGTTCTTACTCTATTATAATACTCAGACAGAAGTTGTTGGACTGTTTCAAACATTAACCGGGCTTTTCTTTTTTGTACCTGGACTCTTGTACTCTATTGTACTCTATTGTACTCTATTGTGCGCTGCACTTGGACTCTTGTGCGCTGCACTTGGACTCTTGTGCACTGCACCTGGACTCTTGTACGCTACACCTGGACTCTTGTGCACTGCACCTGGACTCTTGTGCACTGCACCTGGACTCTTGTACGCTACACCTGGACTCTTGTACGCTGCACCTGGACTCTTGTGCACCGCACCTGGACTCTTGTGCACTGCACCTGGGCTCTTGTGCACTGCACCTGGACTTTGATTCTTCCTTGATTTGCTCTGGACTCGACTACTTAGCGACATTTGTACTCCGCGAGCTGAACAGTTAGTGATTATATTTTTAGATTAATAGCCTCCGGCCGGAGTGCACGGCCGGATTGCACGCTTCGCGTGCACGAGAGAGGCTTGCAACATGTAGCAAAGCTCTAGTGCTTTTGATTTTCAACACTTATGCTTTTCGTAACAAAAAAAGACCTCGTCTGATTAGCACCTCTAGATAAATGCTTAAAGTAAAATAAGGTTTATCCTGGAAGCTCATTTCATCGGGGGTCATATAAGTATGGTCGAAAAAGGGAAGAGTAGGAAACAGTTGATTGACGATGTCAACCGGCAACCCATCAAGATCGTTGCTCTGCCATATTTCATTTATTCTATAACCCCATCTATCTACCATTGTCAACTTTATTTCGGAACTATGTATTTTTAGGTTCAAATTTTGTTGAGTGTGAATTTACACTTTACAGTCGAAACAATGTTTTTACATATTGCATTCCCTTGTTAATAAGACGTTAATCTGTAATCATAGCATTGATCAAGTTTTTTCCCATTTCATTCCTGTTTTAGCCCCTGAAAAGCGAAAGCTTTGACCGAAATTAAGATTTCTGATGAAGTCAGCTTTAACCCTCCTAGCTACCTCCTCCCTTCTTCCTTTCTCCTCCGTCAGCATTTCCAAACCCTCTTCCTCTGCGACATGATCCAACCAAATGTTTGCGTATGAAGTAGAAAAAACATACCTGAATTGAAAACTCGGTCCTTTTTGGTAGCTAGAAAGGTCCTTACGTTGCCCATTCTAATGGAATACAGCCAGGGATTGAACATCGGGCCAAGGAAAACCAACAATCTCGCTACCATTATATAATACTGCGGTGATATCAATTATTTGAATCGTCAATTATATTAATATTATGCTAACTAAGAAGTGATATTATAAGATAAAGACCAAAGAAGCTACAACCAATCGTTAAGTCCAACTGGTGGTCATGTAGTTGCAAAATGAGCATATTCCTTCAAAATATCACAAGCAACAAAGCAAGGGCAGACATAAAGCATAAAAGGGCGAGTTAGCTTCAGTTTTGGGAGAAATACAATCAACAATCGAAACCTTTCTGTTGGCGTGGCGGGTTAGCCCCCCCCCCCCCCCCTACTTACCACACTAAATCCATCACAAGAAGTACAGAGTCTGTCTTTTATCTGGTAACATCGAAGTGGGAGGCTTGAGGCTAAGATCAGAACTCCTTGGACCATGGAAATGGTACATGTCTTTCTAATACTCTTTACTACCCTGTAATATGATGGTGTTAACGATTGCAAGTTTAAGATTGTAATCATAGGATGGATCGAATGTTTTTACTTAAGTCACAGAATTATTTCCTATCAACATTGAACAAAAGTGTAGTGGTTCAAAAATAGTTCATTTCCTAGAGCAGCATTTTATCGGTGGGATAACCTGGCAGAATTGCTTTGCTGAAATTGAGCACTCCGAAGCAGCATTCTGATTATAACAGCGCAACTTCCAATCAGAGCAGCTACCGCTAGAAGTAGAACGAGAGGGTTCGAAACGTTTTCCCATGTTTGGTAGAACTCCGAGTGTTTCCAGGGATAGACTGTTCCCAGTGATAGAGTGCAGCCTGATTGATTGGTTTGTGTCACGTGGTATAAATACTTTGCTCTGATTGATTGGTTTGTGTCACGTGGTATAAATACTTTGCTCTGATTGATTGGTTTGTGTCACGTGGTGTGTTTCCAGTTGTCGACCAGTTATAGAATTATACAGAGCAGCCTGATTTTAAGATTTTGAAGTTCTCTTTGATCTTTCTATATCTGTATATATAAAACGAACAAAAATAATTTCAAAATCTTTAAGTATATATATATATATATATCTTAAAGTATAACTATATATACTTTCTACTTGAATAAAAATGACATGACATAAAAAGTGCCATGATTCAAAGAGAGGACTGATAGATTAAATAACTCTAAGATTATAAAATCTTCAGATAATTTTCTTACCCATGAAGACTTTAATGTTGGCCACGTGTTTTCCCTCCTTGTCATAAATCTCTGCGAGTGAACAAAGAAATACAGCTTTTCCAGATATACCTCTACTCTCACTCTCCTGCATGGTGACTCGGGCAGCGATGATATACGGCAAGGTCAGCGTTAGAAAAGGAAAAGCAGGACTGATCAGAAGAATCAGAACCATCATATAGGCTTTGAGATAGTATGTGATTGGTCGACAGATATGCACAGCTCTATCAAGACACAGCGCTGTGACCAAGAGGAGTTGGGTCCATACTATCACATCAAGCAAGGGATCAACTACACCTCTGCAAAGTTATAATCGTTACTCTATACATTTTACATTGCATACAATATATATATATATATATACAATATATATACATTGTCTACATTGTATACATTGTATACACTGTAGACATTATATACACTAGCAGTAGCAGGAACCCGTATAACCCTAAAATGGTGTCAAGACTCAAGAGACTAAAATGATTATTATCTATTTAATTCGCGTTTTTGACACCACTTGTGGGTACAAATTTGGGGCTCTAAAACTTCTATTTCTTGGCCTATTTTTTATTTTTTCATGCTGATTTGGAGGCCATTAAAGCATTTGGTCCAGTCAAAAAAGTTTCAGTTGTATATCTTTTACAGTTTTTGCGGAAAGTAGCGTTAAAGTTGATGCCGTGGTGTCAGTAAAATGGCACGGATAAACATATATCGTCTCGCTTTATATATAGTAAGATTGTATAGTTATACATTTTATCTGCCCAGTTTACTTTGTCTGTTCGTTTTTGTCAGAGCTTGATTTGAAACTTTTACAAAATAGCAAATATACAAATGTACAGCAAGTCGAACAAACATATAAAATGGGCCGAAATGTATAAATGCTATAAAGCGTGGGTCAGTGAAACAAGTACAGAGGACAACTTTCAAAACAGGAGTTTTATGGCCGCCCAAAGTCTCAATAACATCACCTCCACCTAGTAATAAAATTATGAAATATGAAAAGTGTGAAACAATCAAATAATAAAATATTCAAAATATATAGTTGTCTCTCAAGTACAGATAACGTCTGAAAATTCTTAAAATAATCATCACTCCTTCATATACTGATCAGTGTCCGAGAGTGTAACGTCAACAGCCATGCCTAAAATAGTTTAATGTCCGTCAAGGGGTAAAAAGACGGTAACACTAAACATTTGTTCCTTGTTCGTATTATGGTGCTGGAATGGTACTTGATACGCTGGATTCCTTGGTTTAGAAAGGTATTTGGCAAACTTTTTAGCATTCCACAGTTGCCTGACATAAACAACAACTCGAACACAGTAAAGGACCGTGCAGACACAAACCTTCGCTTGAGACAAGTAATAAAAGAAAGTCGGATTTCGTCTTATCTCTCTCGGTGAACGTCATCAAAGAATGATGTTGCGTGTGAACTCTTTTGATAGTCTCAGCATTTAAAAGTTTCCGGAGTAAAAACACTGTAGTCATATTCATTAGTCGTGTTATCTTTCATTGACTTTCTTGTCCATCCAATCTGGTAACCAACAGTGTTCCTTGCTCTTGTCCTTCCCAAAGGATCCAGATTTTCGTTCACTTAGTACACGATTAGCTAGTGATATGCAGCCATCTTATGAAGCTGGTCACTATATTTTACAATGCCTCTTCCCCGATATTCATCGGTTCTAAAATATTCTGAGGGACTGGGTACTCTTACCATACCCTGTAGGAGCTTGTTATTGATAGTTACCATATAACTCTTTATCAGTGTCAACTATCTCCTCCTGTAATGACGTATCGGCCAGATTCGGTGGCTCAAAATTCTCTCTGAAAGTATGGTCGCAAACCAGTCGTGTCTTGCTGCTCTAGCATTTCAATGTATTCCCTTCATCGGCTTGAGAAAATATATCATCTCTTCTTGTGAGGGAGGGACTTTGGGGAATAGAAGTAAAAGAAAGGAGTAGAGCTTGGGATTATTCATAGATTCATAATGGTCTACGGTCTTCACCGGAATATTTGAACCTTTTCTGCAGGTCCTTGCAGCGTTGTGAGGGTCAAAGAAAATCCATTTCCTAGAGCTGAAACATAATAATAAAGTTTGTTTTATCTTGTTTCATATCACAAATATCAGCAATTATTAGATTGTGTATAATATAGTACTAACGATCTCCAAATTTTACTTAATATTAAAATTTTCATTCTAGTCTTTGACAAACTACAACATCATTCTTAGTTCTAATTCATCAAGAACTGGTTAAATTTGTTTAATAACTACTACCCCGGCAAATCAAAGATATCTAATGGAAAACGGAAATTTTTTGCAGTCTCCTGTTCAACAAGGCATGCATAGAGAAACGAGAATAAATATATCGGGAATATTTTATAACCAACACAAATTATATATTGACATATATAAATAATGAGTTACCAATGTTTGTAGTACTCACATCTACTTTTAAAGTAGATATTGTACTTTTTGGATCTTATAACATGCCAACTCAAAATTCAAATATCACTGTAAAAGAATAACCCAATCATAAATTTTAAGGATGGCTAGAAAATAAGAAACAAATCTTAAGCAAATATACAGATTAGAACATAGAAAACCAAGAAAATCGCAAAGCAGGTCATACAAGTTTAAACATTATAATTAATGGTTAAATTTCCCAAGCACTGATTCAAAAAATGTTGTTGATCAATCATTCATTCATTCACTAGTCAAGTAATATTTTAGGGATCGTATACTTTAAACCTGAATATTTACTGTTCAAGTATAAAGTGCACAAATGCACATACTCCCAGAGATATTGTCTATAGTAATTTATGCAAAACGTGCTCCTGCTAGCTATTATTTTTTCCGTACTCTAAAAGTTTAAACAACAACATTATATTAAACTTATTCTTTAATAAAGATATGGGATATACAGCATTACCAATGTAACCTATTATATAGCATCTTTGAATAATGAAACCAGCAACTGAACAAACATATAAAACGATTAAATTGTTTTTTCAAATTTTATGAACAGGTCCAAGTATCTTTTTATTTGCATTATTCAGGCTCTAATTATCAAGATTCACCTCAGTCCAATAATTATACGACATATAGGCATGGCCACAAAAAGTCGGACTCCATTTTCCACTTTTAACTCCATATGCATATGCCAATTAGCTTTAGACCCTCTGTCGTAAGGGGAAACAGCTCCTTTCCATGCTTTCAGCTGCTTGTACTCGATGCTTAGTCATTACCAGACATGATCAGCGAGATATAACCAACGATTCAAAATGGTAAACCCATGGTGGGGGGGGGAGGGGGGGGGGGGGGGGCCAGCAATAGGCAGGCACCATGCTCCTAAGCAAATATTTGGCAGATCATCAAACGCAAACATCACAGAATCTCCATTTGAAATATGCCACACTTAGGGCCACATGTCATAGTTCCATAAAACAGCACCACAAGAACAAAAGCAAGGTTCTCATAAATATCATAGTTGTAATAGCATACAGTTATTGATCACATGCAGTGGTGGTCCATCATTCGAACACAAAAATCGCATTGCCTGCAATGATGAGAGCGTTCAGGTCTATTTGTTCTACAGGTTTCTGCATTAGATGGACCACTCTTTGATCTCCCTGGGTGTATGATGATTGACAGAACATAATTACGTCATCAACCTCCCAGTTAAAGTGTGACAGTCCAAACTGGTCGTTTACAATATCCCTCCGTTTAATATAAAACGCAGTCCAAGCTGGATATCGACGATGCTTAATGTAAGCTGTTACCACAGCTGATGACTTGATTCGCACTGAATTCATTACAAAAATATTGTTCTTGTAGGGCGCATCCTGCAACACAGTAACATTACGTTAATATATAATGATGAATTGATTGGTGATTTTACAAGTAACCAAAGAAGGCTGTATAACTCCTATTGTTATGGATAGCTAAGAGTTGAGACATGATGGCAATCAATATGCTGAATATTAGCCTACTATACAGATGATACCACGGCCACCTGCATGGGTGATGCTTGGGCCTTGGAGGTGTATCAAATATCATATTGTTATCTTTGTCGGTATTTTTATATTTGATAACTTTTTGATAATTAAATTGTTAAAACAATATAAACAGGTGATTTCAACAATAGTAATTGTCTAGCTATAAGGTTAGACACCCTCGATCTCTGATCTTGATAAATTTGAAACTAAAAGTTGTCTAAAAATGTGAACAAAATAATACCATCATGCAGCACTGTTAAACGTGTGATACTTGTAAAATATTTGTTCCAAATAGACAGCCATGATCAACGAGTCCAATTCAGCGCACGTCTTGGTAGGTTATATAATTGTTATAAACCTACAAAGCACTGTTTGCTAAAAATGCTGTTTAATACAATCACAGGCTGCTGACTTAAAAGATACTACGTAGTAGACTCCAAACAATTTTAAATTGCAGTAATATTAATCTAATCTAATATTGCAGTAATCTAATCTAATATAATTACAGGAGCACACACTTACTATTACTATCATGATTGTACTAGATTTATCACGGCTGTTCTCATCTGAAACTATGCTTGGTGTAGCTCGTTGGGATACAAGGATACAAGGATACAAAGGATACAAAAGTGATAATTACTTTATTGAGTACACAATAGTTGTAGTTCTGAAATTATAATTTAAGTTACACAATTCTAATTATTTACAAATGTGTAGGGATAGTTTAGAAATGTTATATAATGCTAGTTTTAGAAAAATAAATAAATCGAGTTTGTATGGTTCAATTTTATTTTAAGGTCCTATAGCATTACAGTGGAGTTCCCACCTACGAGTGAAACTGAGAGGTGGCGCGCCTGATGAAAAGGTATGATAATGTCAGCCTTGCGGCGCGGCTGACATTAGCTTTCATTACGTTTGAATTATCGCATATACTCTGCATACACCGCGCCACCTTTCAAGCGCGCCACCTCTCAGTTTTCACTCTTAGGTGGGAACTCCACTGTTATGCACTTGCCAGTATTTGAGTGGAAATCTGGGCTCTTATAATAGGCTGTATATTGTTCATTCACAGAGAGAATTGAATGGATTGCTCTTGCTGCGGCAGTGAGTGTGGTAGGATCTAGAGTTTTGTTGGAGAGCAAACCGGTTAGGTCAGTAATGTTTTGGGGATGAAAATTGAAT